CCTAGCCCACACCCCTCCAATGGAGGGAGTGTGGGCTCGGCCCTGCTGAGCCGACTTGCCCGCCGGCCCATCGGACCTACAGCAGCGTATATTATCCTGGTTGAACTGTACAAATTCATTGATTCAGAGAGAGCAGGCAAGGGTAATTGGGAGCGGATAGTATAAGGAGCAGAAGGTTGGCGAAAAAGAGATGACTCTTAGGCCTCACTGTCTTCTTTCTTTTTCGAATTCCCATTGAAATTTGAATAGAGACCTAGGTATATCGATAAGGTTAGGGAAGCCATTAACAAATTTAGAAATTAAAACTGACCAGCAGTAAAGGCTTGCCTGCCCATAGCCGATTTAGTTCTTTTTAAACGTGCTTTCCTTCGAATACAATCTCTTAAACTGTTTTTTGTTACTAATTCAAAGGACCGATCACCTTTCACCGCACCTACTTGAAAAATAACTCCACTTTATTTCTGGAACGCTCTTTTATTTTCAGCTTCGAAACACACGCAATCCCAAGTGACTTCTCTTGGAACATAGGCACGTGAAATAACTCAACATCGCGTGCGGCATGGCCTCACCGGCAGAGTCCAGTACACTGATTGTGAGAGTGGGCCCCTCAATTGCAACTAGTCAAGGTGCGTACCGTATCTGTTACCGTATCGTACTAGTCAACAACACTGAGTGATAGACGGCAGACAGTAAGAGATTGGCCAAGGGGAAAAGGAGAGTGGTGGGTGTGCGCCCGTTCTCTTTTCCTCTCTACCAGTGATTTTCACAGACTACACGAGCAGTGCGGTGTACGGTGCAGTGACTTGTACAATAGTCGGTAGGCACCGGGCCAGACGGGTGCGCTTCGTTGCGCGTGTCCGTCGAAAATAGGGCGCGCCGCAGCCGTCGTACGCGGCGAGTCAGCCGCGATATTTGACAGACGTCGCAATTGCCACTGGGGCATACGCTTTGCGTTTGGTCCACGGCAATCAGTTCAGGAAGATGACAACACAGACAGATGCAAATCATTTGCTCCAATGA